TTATTAAATAATTAATACATTTAATATCATAAGTATTAAATGAGTAAAAAAATTAATTATTTAAATAATATGTTAAATTATATTAACAAAATAATATAAAAAATTATTTCTAAATCATTTTTATTTTTTATTTGTTTATATGTAGAGGTGACATGTCATTTTTTACCGGGGCAATAGGTCTGTTACGAATATTTGAGTTTTTACCATTAAATTAGTGTTAAACCCTCAAACTCGTGGGTACAAGGAAATGTTAAATGTCAAAGTTAAAATGTTTGGGTGGTATTTTCGTATTTTTGCCTCGGGATATGTTAAATGTCAATATCTTGCCACAAGTTGATTTAACCACGCAATGTGTACATCTCCTACAAATTTCAAAGTTTGGTAATCTGACTGTACCATTTGACAAGGATTTGGTTTAAAAGGTTAATTAGTTATAAAATTTTATAAAAGGTATATTTTAATTTTAAATGTTGAATTAAATTTTTTTTGAATAATTTGTAATTATTTACAAAGTTAATTGTAAAAAAAAATTTCATGAAACTCAAATGTGTAATCAACAGGAGGTGAATAACCCTAACCTATGGTATAACGTTACTGAGTTGGAGTTCAATTTTTTTTTTTTAAGTTGTTTTTGTTAAAAAATTAATATCGTATTATTTGAAAGGAATACAGGTAGCGGCAATTAAGACCACGTATGAAAATCAAGTTTTAACTGTTTAACATGAAATTAATTTTTTTTAATAATTTATAATTATTTATAAAATTAATTAAAAAAATAAAAATTTCTTGAAATTCGAACGTACGATCTATGAAAATGAATAACTCTAACTAAAGGCCCCGATACCACGGGGCGGAACAGACCGTTCATTAACTCAATTTTTTAAAAAAGCTTGAAGTTAGAAATAATACATAAAGTGAAGCGCTGAAAAAAAATATATATATAAAGCCACCTACTTTTATAAAGTTAACTGCTCTTAACTTCTATAAATTTCTACATTTAGGTTAATTGGGGAGCGAAAAGGAGAAGAAAAGAATTATATCTATCTCTTTTCTTCTTTTTCTTTTTCTTTTTTTCATTTTTCTCCCTTTCTCTTCTTTTTTTTTTTTCTTTAGATAAATAATTAAATTTAAAAAATAAAATAAAAAAATTTTCTCCTTCCCTCCTCTTAAAATTTTTTTTATAACTAAATAAAAGATTTTTTTTTTCCTTTTCTCCTCTTCTCTCAAACTTTTAATTCGATAAGTTAAAAGGTCGACACTAAAGTTGTTAATATCATATCGACATACGTATCAATTGTACTACTAAAACGGTACATACTAGATATCAAAACTTTTCACGTACTGTTTCGGATTTATCGCTATAAATATATATTTGTATAAATTAAATATCAAAAATTTTAAATAATGATAAGATCAACAATGTTTAAGACTATCATATTCCTATAAATTAAAAATGAGTTTAAAATGGCCAATTTTATAGAACATTTATAATTTTTTTTCTTTTTTTTAATATTAAGATAATATTAAAAAGCATAACAGTATTCTGAGTTTAATATTATATAATTTGTAATACAAAATACTTCCACAAGAGAAGAAATCATATCTTCTAAGTATAGCATGAATGCAAAGGACAAACCAAAACATTATTAAGAAGAGAGAACAGTAATTGGTGAGTACTGAGAACTAAAAATTTAAATATGAAATTGTCAAAAGGGACTAAAAATATATATTTTTAGTCCTTCAACTTCTAATATATGCATATTTTTCATCCCTTCACTTTAAGTTAAGGGATTAAAAATGTATATATCTGGACAAACTTAACGGAATAACTAATAGAATGACTAAAAAAATACATTTTTCATAGTTAATGGACTAAAAAAGTAGATAAAAAAGTTAAAAGATGAAAATTTGTAAAACATTAAAGTTGAGAACCAAAAATAAAATTTATCTTTTTTAAATTTGAACTGATTTGTACAAACCAATTCTGGTGTACTGGCTAATACGTAGACATATTAATTGATACATCAAAATTTGACTGAAACAGACAAAATTTGATCTAAACAAAATTAAACCTTGTATTGTTTCAATTTAGTGAAACAACCGATACATACCGACCATACCAGTCGGTACAAAACGGTATCAATAACATTGGTTGGCACTCAAAAAATGGAAATGTTAAAAGGTCCGCTGCACGTAGGAACGTTTGTTTGATAACCACTGAGGAAAAACATTTTGTTTAGGAATATCAAAAAGATTTTTATCAAAGTTGTGCTAAAAATTTCTCAATATGGATGACAACGTGTATTATGTGTTTTTTTTTTTTCTTGAGATAGATTTTTATTTTATCGAGGTTTTTTTTAGCAAGGGTTTAAATAAGGCAGTATGGTTGAAATAGAATTCTCTTTAATTACAATGATAAAAACCTCTAAATTCCAAAGGCTCAAAATCCTAAAGTCAATGGAGGTTTCAAACTTCATTAAACACCAAAAGTTGGGGAATTCAATGCAAAGCTTATTCATGAAACTTGTAACAATTCAAAACCAAGCACATATTAAAAGTGAAACCTGTCAAACGCAAATTTTGAAAGAGCTCAATCTATTCAAAACCTCTGTTGAATGCAGGAAAAGACAATGACAATTCTCACTTTTTTCAAACTTTTTCTTTGGGGGAAAATGTTGTATCCGAAAATGACTAGGAAAAGTAGTGGACACACGAGAGACCGCTCAACAAAACTAGAAGATAAGGGAATCCTAAACCAAGTAAGAAAATCTCTGCTGGACACATCTTTTCTTAAACAAGAGAAATTCTACAAGATTATAAGTTCTATAATTTATATTAGAAATAGAATATTAAGTTCTATATAGCTAGAGTTATAATCTTATAAAATATTCTATGTATCATATCCCTAATCTGGACTTAAGGGATCATCTTTTTTCTCGCTTAATCACTTCTTTTTCCTTCATTAATAAATTAAGTTTTTGGTTTTATCTATTTTTCACTGTTAACACATTATAAAGAGGATGATGTTATCTAGAGCCATGACTACCATCTTATTAGCTTGTGTTGTTTCAATGGCAGGTGTTGTGGGTGGCTAGTACTAGCGACGACAGGGGTTTGATGAAATTGGTGCAGACGGTTCAGGTTGCATGTGCATGGAAGTGGAAGCGAAATGAGGAAGTGGGAAGGAGTGTGGAGTTAGGGGATGATGGGCAGCGGTGGGGCACAAGGATGGGAGATGAGCCTGGCAGCGTGACAAGGAGAAGGTTGGCTGGTGTTGGAGCAAGATTGGCGGTTGGTGGAAGGGCTGGAAGTCGAAATAGGGATGACGCAAAAGATACGAAAAGGTATGGATATTGGATAAATCATGCAATAGTCCCTAGACTTTAATTACTAGGGTTGGCATTCCAATTCCTTAACTTTATTGTATTCTATGATCCTATCCTAGCTTGTCTGAGCCTTCGGATTTGGAAAATTGGAGTTATGGGAGAAGTGATTGAGCAGTTTGTTGTTGATTGTTCAGCAAGTAAAACAACATGCGATAGCTTTGGTGCTCAAGTTTTGCTTGGCTTTAGAGCATAGTCATTATTGTTTAACAATTAAAACCACATACGCTAGTTTCAGCATTTTTATTTAATTTGGTTCTAGAACCTAAACAAGGAGTGCAATAATTGGTACTCATTTATTTCGATTGTTTTGTTTTTTTTTTTTTTTAACAAATTGTAATTATTTACATATTAATGGGGGAAATGGGGAAAGGGATTCCATTGAACTTGAACACGCAACTTATAGGAAGTGAACAACCCAAACTCAAGTTTCAATGCTACTTGACTGGAGTGGCGTTCTATTTTGATTGCTTTGTTAGAGTTTTCTTTATTTTAATTAATTTTTTATACTAGATAGTTAGAGCACAATTTTTTATGAAACAAGGAAAAGTGAGGTTGAGAAGCAAAATTTGTTCCGAGCACCCTATGGTGCTCCATGATGAGTGGGATGAGAATTCTCCCATTCCATGTTACTTATTATGTTTATAGGTTATATGAGCCAATTTCGCAAATCAATAATATAATTAAGGAAAATGCTGTGTGCACCCTCCGGTTCAACACCTAGGGGTGCACACCCTTAATAACCAAACTATTTTAACAATAAAATTACAAATTTAACCTTAAAAGTCATTTTCCTCTCAATACCCCTTTTTCTTCTTATCTCTCCATCTTCCTCTGCTGAACTCTTCTCCTTCCTCAAAACTAGATTTGCTTCACCCTTTTATTTATTTATTTATTTTGGGGCTACTTGGCAATGACGATGATGATGGTGGTGATGGTGGCGATGGTGATGAAAAACAAAAGGATCTATGGTATTGTCCCTCTCCTTTTATTTCGGTGGTGATTGAGGATGGTGATGGAGGTGGAGGTTGTGATGATGATGAGATGCAAGGAGATGGTCTCTAGGTCAGAGAGAGAGAAGGAAAAAAAAAAAGGGGTCTAGGTTTCGGGTTCTCCTCGAAGAACCCAAATTGGGCTCTCCTAGAGAACCTAGACAAAAAAAAAAAAAAAAGAAAAAAGAAGGATAGATTTGTAATTTTACTTTTAAAATTGTTTGGTTAAGTGAAGTGTGCACCCCCAGGTGTTAAATCGGAGTATGCACGAATCATGGTCCTATAGTTAAATAGGGACGGAGCCAATGAAGGATAAGGGGAGCAACCATACTCCTAAACTTTTGAGAAACATGTAATGTGTTACTTTAATTTTTATTTGTTAAAAATTGTACTTTTATAGTATGAATTTCAAAAACTATTTCAAATATAGAAAATATTTAGTACCTAAATAAAGAGTAAAAAAAAAGGGATATGATTCAAATAAAATGAACTTTATATCAACTTGATTAAGAGTAATGATTGATATACTTTTCAATTCAACATATCTGCCAATACTCATTGGTTCAGTTATTAAATTTTGCAAGTCAAATTTTTCCTATCTGGAATTCCAATTTAAAAATAATAATTTCTTAATAAGTGTATTGAGAAATGTATTGAATCAAAGGGTATATTAATTATAATCCTTTAATTAATTAGGAATTGAAGAAGGAATTGAAGGGGTTCTTAAACATTTCCTCACCTATTAAGCCAAAAAAAAAAAAAACTTTTGATTCTTTATTTAAACAATTTAAATTTGCAATTTTTTTATTTTTTCTTTTTATTTTCTTTCTTAATATTCTATATAATATATATATATATATATATATTTGGCATTGAGCCTTTCATGATTGAATTTATAATTATGTTTTTTGTATTAAATCATTCTAAGTTAGATTTTACTTTTTAAAAGAAATATTTTAGTATATTTTTTTAATATTAATGTTTATCAACATAATCTACAAAAAAAATTAAGAGGAAAAACTCCTAATTAATCCAATACTATTTTATTTCAATAAAACCAAAGACTCTCATTCTTACTTTAAGAATAGGTTGTTTTTTCTTTTTCTTTTTTTTAATATTAGTTTATTGAAATAACATAATTTTTTTAAAAAAATTTCTCTTAATTTTTAAGAAATTGTACTAACAAACACTTTTCTCTTCTTTTTTTTATTCATTCTTCAATTAATCATTGCATGATTTATTATTGTAATATTTTATTTTTTATTTAATAAATATATTTATTTTTAATTTTTGTTAAGAATATATATAAATGAAAACAACCACCACAAGTGAATCATTTAAAAAAAAAAAAAGAAGATTTAAAAGAAAATGAATTAGAAGACTTAAATCTTTAATAATAATTTTCATCCCCAAACTAAATTTCCTTTGTTCTTGTTGTCAAATTAATTGAATAAAAAATATTATTGTGCTAAAATTTTCAATTTTTATTTAAATGTCATGTAAAAACATTATTTAAAGTTACATGCAAAATTTACTTAAGAATTAGTTGTGAATTATTTTTGTGGACGGATAAATGCTTTACTGACTTCTTTTTTCATTTTTAAGAGTGAGTAATTAGTACACAACATTCCGTGGTAGTAATTTAGGGGAAGGTACATTGGGCTCGAACCTAATCCCAAATGATGCCTAACACATTTTTGGGGAGCAGTGCATGGCCACTTGCTCAACCCAGTGGTCGGCTGGAGTACTTTACTTACTGGCCGTTTTGGCGGCAAAAATCTCAGATTTGATATAGGAAATTCACAATATCATAATTTATAATCTACTTATATAAGTGATTTGTCGGCTTGAATAAAAAAATTTTATTTTTTAAAAATAAAATCTTAAATTTAAATCTTATATATAAAAAAAAACACTACAATACCTTTCTCCTTATGAGATTCAATACGTTCGATTCCATATTAATTAAGATCCAAAATGACTTTAGAATATTGAAAGGTTAGTTTAAAAAAATCTATAGACTATTATTTTTCAACTAAAATCCTTGACCTTAGGAGAAATAGACAAGCAGGAAGCTACGTCTTTCTAGCAACGTTTGTCATAATAAACCAATGAAGTATTGGCCTAGTGGTTAAATAGATGCCTTAATATCTTAGTATTCGAGTTCTAATTTTATTTTGTATAAATTGTTGTTTAATTTTATATTAATTTATTAAAAGTAATTAAAAATAATTGTATTTTATTATGTTAATTATTGATTGATATTGTGTACTATATTAAATTTGTACCAATAAAAAAAAATCCTTCATAATGTACTAAAAATGAGGTTAAAAGTTCTATCTTAATTTATTTGCACATATTACCTTTGTTCATTTTTTTCCTCACACTTATTATAAAAAGGTACCCATACGTTTAATTTTTACACCTTTTATTTTTAGAGAGACTTTGTTTCAAATTTACTCTCATTAAATGTTTTTAATGAATATTTTATTATAAAAGGATGGAGCAAAAATAAAATTTAAAACATTAATGATTGTTTTTGTGAACTTTATGTTAAATTTTCTTATTGCACCATTAAGAATGTGTTTGGTTCAGTTTCCAAGTGCTTTAGTCTTTTGATAGTATTCATATTTTATAAATTAAAATTTTTCTCTTAAAAACTTACATTTAAAAAAAAAAATTTAACTTTAAAAAGATCTTAAACAGTAAAAGTTGAAAAGTTTTAAATTTAAATTTTTCATAAACTCTCTTTTTACTCTCATTTTACTCATTTTTTTATATCTCTAAAAGCAACTTTTAAATTTTCACTTTAATAAAAATTTAAACTTATTACTCATGAATAATATAAAAAAGGTAAAAACTTTTATAAGTTAACCCAAATATACTCTAAATTTGACAACTGAAAATGAAACAAAATTAATGCTTATTATATTTCTAATATAACGTCCACCAACAGTTTTTTTTTTTTTTTTAATTTAGTAATTAAAGTATTCTCAAGTTAACTTATGCATATTTTAAAATTAATCTTTTTTTAATTCAAATAAAAACAAATTATTTATACTTACATGAAAAAATTCATGTAAAATTATCTCCTCTTTTACTTTACGAGAGAATTGAACGTCCTCATTACTAGTTGTGGAAATACAACAATTTTCATGATAACTTCAGCTCTGAACCTTAACAAACTAGTCACCAGTGTAGCTGTTACAATAATTTTGTTATCTAGCATGTGCTAATGCCTTGGAAACAATAAAACTGAACTCAAATCGAGGGAAAAAGACATGTGATACACAAAAATCACATGCATGCATGCATGTTGGACGTTATATAGTAAGAACCAACAGCTTAACCCATTTCCCAACAACCAAAACAAAAACGCAGGAAGGCTGAGTTATTTAATAACAAAATATTCTAAGGGGTTAAGCCGACAACTTCATAAAAGTTTAGGGTGGAAAATGAGTTTTCCGTAAGCATAAAGAAAGTCAAAGCAATAAGGTTAGGGGACCGTGAGAGAACCGTTAGACACGTGACTACGATTATGTGAAGAGGAGAAAGATACTCGAAAATTACCCCGCATTTACATTTTCATTTCTTTTTTCATTACTGAGGTTACAATTACTAATTGTTTTTGTTAAGCATGTGAATTATGATTATAATTTTATTAATTTATAATTTTTGAAAAAAATTAATTATAATATTTAAATATATTTATTAATAAATTAATTTTAATTTATTACATAATAATTAATAATTATTTTATTAATTATTAAAAAATAATTATTAATTTTTTAATAATTAAATTAAAATAAAAATTAAACTGTTTTTGCAACTAGTAACAGATTAATGGTAGCATAACCTCAATGTGTCCTTTGTCTCTTTCGGTAAAAATCAATATTTAGTCCCTTACTTTAGTCTCTTACTTTAGTCTCTTACTTTAGTCTCTTACTTTATAAAATTAGTAGGTTTTAACCATTTACTTTATATTATGATATCACAGTTTTAACTTTTTATCTTACAAAGGTGATAAGTTTTAGCTCATCGCCTTACAAAATTGATAGGTTTTAACCATTTACCTTATATTATGATATTTTTAATCCATCACCGATACGAATTAAAGAAAATAACCTTTACCTAACATCAAGTTATAACGTTCTGTTAGTTAACTGTTAACATATGTTAATATTCTATTATAAAAAATATAAAATTTAAATTCAATTTTATTTATTAATTTTATTAACGGAATGCTAACGAATGCTAACAGTCAACTAACAGAACTAATAATCAGCTAATAGAATTGATAGTTAACTAACAAAATTAATAAAATATTAAAACTTGATATTAAATAAAAGTTATTTTCTTTAATTCTTTTAGATAAAGGGTTAAAAATATTATAATATAAGATAAAAAATTAAAATCTATCAACTTGGTAAGATAAGAGATTAAAACTTACCATATTTATAAGTTAAAAGGTTAAAAAAATATCATATTATAATATAAAATTAAGGGTTAAAATTTATTAATTTTATAAGTTGAGGAGCTAAATGTAGTATTAGCCTGTCTCTTTCTGGGTTGTGCGTCCGTTTACACCCAACGTCAACCCACCCCACTTCTCCGATGCCTGCACTTCTCTCTAAATAAATACCCCATTCCTTTCATCCCTCTTCTGTTGCTGCTTCAGGGAGAGAAAGTGTGGTACTTTCTGGGTATTGTTTGTTTTTGGGCTGTTCTGGCTTCAGGTTAGCTTTTCATTGGGCATTTCTCCTCATGGGGTTCTATTTTGTTTTGTTTTGTTTTTTTTTTATGCTTAATTTTGGCTCATTTGTTCACTGTGTATGCGTTTGTTTCCCTTTTGGGCCTTCTGGGTTCTGATATGTGTTGTTGTTTAGGTTATCTGCAGTGTTCTTTCTTAGATCTGCTTCATTTGGGAGCATACATGCCTGTCGCTTTCTATATACGGCAAGAATTTTTATGAATAGTTGTAGGTTTTATGCATGCTGTTGAGGGATGAATTAGATACATTGCCTATTTTCAAAAAAAAAAAAAAAAAAGAATTAGATATTTGTGAATGTGAACCCTCCTAGAAGCGCGCCCCCCCCTCCCCCAAAAAAAAGCCCTCATTGTATTTAAAATTTGTCATTCTATTGAGACCCACGTGGTGCTTTTGATTTATCTTTATATTTTGGATTTTCCTGTGTTGAAATCATAAATTATGTAGCTAGATTAAATCCACCAGTTATGTCTCTGTAAATGTAGAAAAGACCAAAGAAGATGGATAAAATGGTCTTGTCTTTATTAGGCGAACCTTGTTTTTTTGGGTTGATTTAATTCTTAATTTTATTGGGGTAAAACTGCCTTGAAAGGATTATACTAGGAAGAATGAAAAATCCATGACAAAATAGAACCGATGGTATTGAATTTGACTGTTTCTATATTCTGTTGGGATGCAGAAAGTTTGAGAGTTAGGGCCTTTGAGATTTGATTTCCTAAAGTTGGTCATTTGCTGAATCAATGGAGGTTCGCGGAACAACCATGGGTGTTGCCCCAACCCCTGCAAATGTTATTTATTTATCTAGTATTCTTGGCCATGATGGGCCTATACCTGTTCACAAATGTGATTGGAAATGTCAAAATGAGCATGTGTGTGGAAACATGTATCGTTGCAAACTAACTGGACTCACCCACATCTGTGACAAGAATTGTAACCAGAGAATTTTGTATGACAATCATAGTTCTCTGTGCCTAGCCAGCGGCAAGGTTTTTCCCCTTTCACCAGCTGAGGAACAGGCAGTCAGAGGAGTCAGAAGGAAGCTTGATGCTGAGAACTCCCCAACTGATAGCTGCTCTTTTAAGCGCAGACGTGATTCACAGTTTCATCCTTCTCCCTTTGAGAGATCCTTCTCTGCTGTTGGTCCAATCTGTAGCCAAGTTGGAGATGGCATGGATATGAGCTAGGGATATGAGCTAGTTATATATTATATCACCAAAAGACTGCCCATATTATTTCTCATATCATGTTCCTTCGAAACTTTTCTGCTTTCTTTCTTATGGGACAAGTAAGGATAATGGATGGTAGACTTGATCTCAGTGTTCTGTTGGTGGGACATTTGCATACTGCCTACCTGTATGAACACTTACAGTTTTCATCCTTCTAATGCTAAATGCTAATTGAATTACAACCTTTTCTCATAGCTTTTAATGAACTCGAATTTCCAGCTTCTTTCTAACCCTTAATAGGATATTTATGGACTGCAGCAGTTAGAGGGCGGTTCATTGCATCCTGCTTGAATTAAATTATGATATTGACTCATCAGTTATCTTTTAATTGTCATTTCTTCTAACTGCATAATTTTTCTGCCTTTACTGTTTAATTTTTCTGCCTTTACTGTTGTTCTTTAATTTTTTTATGCAACTGTTTATGTGATTCCTATTCTGTATTCATCTGTTGTATTGAATTTGCATATTGCTTGGATGCAATTGCTTTTTGTAATCTCTTTGCTTGATTCATTTGTTGCATTGCCCTTCCTCTAAATTGTAATGATAATGCAGAACCATATGTATGGTTGTACCCCTTAGATAATGGTCATATTTTTCTTAGTGGGTTGCCATAACTCAGCAATCTACGGTGTTTCTCTGTCTTTTAAGTTTCAATATGATTCTCTCACTTGATTTTTTGGTTTTACCAGTTTAATGCAGGTTGAAGAGGGTTACATGGCCAATCCCATTTTTTTTCTTTTTATAATTTATTTATTTTTGTTTGTTTGTTGTATGGATTTCTGAAGTATATGTTGATTTTGCAGGGGTTGAAAGTTTGCAGTTCAGGAGAGTTTGATTATACTGTTCGAAAATGAATGATATTTTCTATTTTCAGGTTTTTTAAAATGTTAACGGGTTTCTGATTATCTGTATCCTTGTGATGTAGGTATTTCTTTCCTTGCTTGCAATGGAGAACATGATTTTTATACCTCATAGTGCTGATGAACCGAATATGCTTCTGCATGTGGTTTTTCAGCATCCCAGATGTTAAGGGGAAATGCCTCTGAGAATACAGGTGGGTGAAACTTGATTTAGTTAAACATTGTATTGTCATCTACCTACTGCAGCATGGAGGATGCGTTATCAACTGCTTTCTCTAATATAGAAGTTGTGTTATTGAAGTTCTTGATAAGGAATGCTTCATATGAATGCTAACCATGTGACCTTTTTGTTGTAGCCATAGTTCAGGGAAGAAATCCTGAGTATCTTCTACTAGGTATGCCTACAAACCAGTGATGCTTTAGAAATGTGGCCTTTCTTGGCGTTGATGGAAGTTTTCCTGACATCTGAGTCCTGGTTTGCTAGTAAAATCTAGACAGATAGCAGTATTCTGTTGGGCAATGAGCCTGTTGCCTCTTGTTATTGGATTCCCTGTCAAGGCATCAATCAAGTATATATCTTCTGTCTTCATTGTTGACTTATTGTCAACCTACTTAACTGCTACATGCCAAGATTGAAGAAACTAACATGTTTTCTACCATTTGTGCAACTATAACAGATTTGTCACTCAGAGCTTTTTCCTTTTGGCTCAGCCATACGGGGGAGAAAGGATTACTTTCAAATGTAGAGGCATGTGAAGTTGGCTAGTTCTTGCTACTGAGTTGTACTTGAAACTTCATAGATTTGCTATGTTTTGTATCGTTGTTGGTGATGTCCAATCTTGTTCTGATCCCTTGCTGTGGCAACCCTTGTGTACTAGCTGTAGATGTTCTTGTGTTTTGAAGCGTCTTCCTCTAGAATCTCAAATGTGAGGATTCCCTTATCTGCTGTTACTGTAATAGTTACGGCACAATGGGTTGGTGAGGCCATCTACATGCATCTCTTGGATAGTCATATTTGGAACAACAGTAGTCTGTAAAACAGACTGATCTAGAAGATTTTATTTATGTGCATGATTCATTATCATTTCACTCCAAGTGTACAAGGGGGGTTTTTCTGTTGTATTTGTATCATTGTGGATGTGTTTGCCTCGTGTATGATTTATATCTAGAGTTTCTTTGTTGTATCAATCATTTTTGTGACAGCTTGTGAATAAAAATTCGTATGTAAGTGACCTCTTGAAGGCGTTAGACTTTACAAGGCAAAGGGAATATAGAAGAATGAATGAGCTTCTATTTTTTGGTTGATTGTTTTTCTTTATTTTTCAGTTTTGCATATGCACCTTGTTCAACCAACCAAGTGTTAATGTTCAGGGATTCCGAGCCGACTTGGATTTTTTTTTTTTTTTGGGGGGGGGTGGTGTTGTAGGGGGTGGGCAAAATCGGTTTCGGTTGAAAACGGAAACCGATTTTGAATTAACTGAAAAAATTTGGTTTTAATTTTGTGAACCGAAATTTTTATAAATCAATTGATTTGGTTACTGATTTTTATCAATAAAATTGGTTTGATTTCGGTTTTTATTAAATAAATATTAATTAATTATTTTTTTAATAATAAATTATATTTTATCACATGTTTTATTATATTTTGTTATATTTTATCCTAATTTTGGTTTTCAGTTTTTAAAAAATTCAACCAAAATCGAACCAAAATTATTCGGTTAATATAAAAACCAAAAACATTTAAATCGAGCCGAATTCATTTTTTTGGTTCGGTTTTCAGGTAAACCGTCGGTTCCGGTTTCAGATGCCCAGGGCTAGGCTAGGGGGGGGGGGGGGGGGGGAGGGGGGGTGGGGTCCGCGCGCTAACTGCCGACATGGAAAATTAAATTGCTGCTTTTGTGATGAATAACCTTTAAAGTAACAGTAAATATGCAAATAAGAATTTTAATTTTACATTTTTTTTTATTTAAAAATGTTAAGTTTGTCAGTTTTTAAATAAGGATGTTAACTTTTAATTTTTTTTTTTAAATAAGGATGTTAACTTTATCAGTTTCTAAATAAGGATGTCAACTTTCAGCATTTTTTATTTAAGGATGTCAACTTTTAACTTTTTCTATTTAAGGATTAATTGAATAGTGATGCTAACGCGGCTAACATATTTTTTAGGTTAAATAACTAAATTGGTCCCTCAACTTTTATTTTTGAACCAATTCATCCTTAAACTTCAGAAAGTACCAAAAACATCCTTCAACTTCAATTTTCAATTAATAAAATTATTTCTTAATTCATGGAAGAATTAATTAAATTTTATTTAATTTTATTAAATGGTAGGTGGGACTAATTAAATGGGAAATATATTAATTGTTTTAATTTTTAAATATAAAAAAAGTAAAATTAAGAATTAAAGTAGTTTGTAAATTATTTAAAATTAAAAAAAAATCCACATAATCATCTTTTACATGATGAATTTTCCACCTAATATTGAAAAAGTAAAATAGTCAATCACTTAGCGAAAAAATTAGCTACATCAACATTTAACTGACGGAAAGACGAAATGAAAAATTGAAGTTGAAGGATGTTTTTGGTATTTTTTGAAGTTCAAGGATGAATTGGTTCAAAAATAAAAGTTGATGGACCAATTCAGGTATTTAACTTAAAAAATATGTTAACCACGTCAGCATCACTATTCAATTAATCCTTAAATAGAAAAAATTGAAAGTTGACATCCTTAAATAAAAAATATTGAAAGTTGACATCTTTATTTAGAAACTGACAAAGTTAACATCCTTATTTAAAAAAAAAAAATTAAAAGTTAACATCCTTATTTAGAAAAAAATTGAAAGTTGACATCCTTATTTAGAAACTGACAAAGTTAACATCTTTAAATAGAAAAAAGTGCAAAGTTGGAATCCTTATTTGTACTTTTACTCTTTAAAGTACAAATAAAACCTGTAAGAAATAGCTGTGCGCCCCCAATCCAAAAACAGAAAATAATGGCAAACGTTAACAAAAATGATCAACCTCATAAACATACCGCATAAGAGGGAATGGGCACTGTTAGGAAGAAGAATTTTATTTGGGTTTCCATCAACTAACAATTCTTAAAGCTTAAATTATTCCCTTCTTAGATTGAAGTCAATTGAGAATTGCATTCTGATGTAGGACAGGTTTAAAACTCTATCTAAATTGGCGTAGTGGTTTTAACAAAATAAGTTTTGTAATGCTTCCATGTCAGAAGAAAAACACACAATTGTGAATGATATAATTGTAAATAACTATTAATAATTTGAATTTAAATATTTAAAAAGCTATGTACCTTAATTTAAAAAATTATTAGATAAATAATGAGTTTCAACTCAAGTCATTTCAACTGATACATGAGAAGTGTCTTGGGATACAATGTCAAGATACCTTAATGGGCCTTTGAAGGAGAGTCCTTGTTCCAACAAGGGCTTGGAGTGGAGTGTGAACGGGTGGTGGCATAGTTGGTTTCTAACCTCTAAAATCTTACATTGCCTGGAGTAGATACAAATGTAGAACTATTTGGATTGGACTAAATATGTGTCAAATGTTTAGGTGGGGAGATTGTAAGAAACCAAGTCAATCCTTCATTTGAAGAAAAGTACGATGGTTGTGTATAATTGTAAAAGCAAATCATTACTAATAATTTGAATTTTCATTTTTTAAAATATGTGAATCTTAATTTAAAAAGTTGTTTTAATTTTAAATACAAATAAGACTTCATGTCATGCATTGTGTGACTTAGTTACTATTATTAGAGAATTCAATATACAATAGAGATAAATATTTGTTAATCGGACCTCTAAAAAATTATAAGAAAAAATATCTTAAAATTACATAGTATTTTATTAAAATAACATAGTTTACGATAACATTATAATTTTTAACTAATTTAATTTAAAAAATTTTAGGCCATATATAATGTGATTTGTTTAATATCAAATGAAATTAGATTCTTGTAACATCAAATAAGAATTTATCTATTGCTGAAATTTCCCAACAACATCCAGTAAATTTTGAAGGATAATGATACATGAAAACCGAGATTATAATTATTTGTGCTTGATATAATTGATGAACTTTGCATGAGAAGAACTATTGCTTTTAAGGTTCTTTACTACTACTAGCTTTAAAATTGATTGCATCTTTACACAGGTCACCTGTGCTCTTCTGTAGAAACTTGAGTTTCAGCTCTAACATTGGAAGACACTATTTCAAATATGAGATCTAGTTTCTTGTGAATTTGATGCCCTTAACCTCATCTCCTTCAATTCTGCAGGGAGCAATTCCATTGAATCTAAAGTTCCGCCATTACACAGACAACAAAAAAGAAAGAGTTCAAAAAGTTAAGAATCACAAAAAACGCACTATGTTAGTTCACCTAAACATTTAGGTGCCTTTCAAAAAAAAAAAAAAAAAACGTACACATTCACGTTGTTTAGAATCCATCCTTGGTGACCATGCTTGTTTATCACTTTATATAAAAAAAATCTAAAATTTAGTTTAGGGTGAGAATCTACCAAAAGAATAAATACTTCAAAATATAAGGAATGGGCAAGGTACTGCCCAGCAGTGAAAGAAACATGCATACCTCTTCAATTGACAGTCTCAACAGAAAACAGGGGGGAAAAGGAAGTGTCTATTCCAACACAAGGTTTCGAATTCTTCGGCTATTTCCCTTTCTGCAGTTTGTTGATTTCCGCTTCACCAAAACAGAATCGTATATATATCTTACGTAAATCAATAGAATCATGCCTGAATAATATGCATGCTCAACAATCATCATCTCAAATGGGAAGAAACATAAAAACTGCCCTGAACTTGATATGTAGAGAAGAAGGCGTCTGAAATTCAGAAAGAAACACCGGTTAGATGCCCGTAATTCCAAGCCGACATAAAATGCAACAAATAATTTTAAAAAGTTGAAAAATTTTGTTGTTACGGATTGGCACACAGTTGTGAAATTTCTATTGAAGCATATACAACTACTGCTGATGGGTGAATTCTTGGCTTAAGTTGAGAACATTGGTCATCCAAAGAGGCTTTCCTGTGTTTTATTATTTTGTGTTTTTAAGGATAGAAGCTCCCAAATCTTGCTTAATTAGGGCAAAAAAAAAAAAAAAAAAAAAAAAACTGGTTTTAGTAGTCTAGTCAAAAAACCAAATTTTGACAAAGTTTAACAGTACCACAAAGATGATTATATTAACAAATATTGGAAGGAACTACATGTAACCTATTTATGGCTTGAGACCAATTTCATATTGCAACTCAAAGTGTTAGAGGTGAATTCACGGACTGATTATTAACGTTGGCGCGATGTTACACTCTAAGGCGCGGAACAGCCCCGTTGCTTTACTTGGGGAAGTCGGTTTGCTTCTGTCCCAATTAGACCCGAATTTGTTCTGTCCTCCTAGTTAGAACCGGATAAATTTCTTCAGTTCGTCTCCAAACACAAGCCGAATTTCAGACTTATATATACATATTCTATTGTTAATCAGAGTACTGTAATCAGTGGTGCTATGGCTCATTTCAAGGGCGCAACTTCCTCTTCATTCTCTCAACCCCAATTCCACTCTTTCACTTTCCCTCTGTTTTCCCGGCCTTCTACTTCAACCATGCCACCTTCTGATATTCCAACTTTGATCACCTTTCTCCCTATCCCAGAAAACCCAGTCGGTTCCGAACTCAAACCCTCGAAAACCCCACTCTTTGATCACGAAAGCATTAAGAACGTTCCTATTTCCTTGGAGTTGTCTCTTTCCTCTGATTCTGGGTCCACGTCCAAGAAAAGGCCTCGCATTGCTGAAAGACCTCAGGAGAGAAAAAAAGCCAAGATGACTGATCTGTGCCTGGGTCTTGACGCATGGAGCATCAAGAAGACACTTGGGAGCAGCGACATCGGTCATGCTTCCAGGCTTATTGTGGCATCAGAAGATGTTCACAAGCACATTCTTCCGTATTGGGATGTCAGTGTTTGCGGACACCTGATGAATAACGGTAGCGTGAGCGTGTGCGTGCGGGATTTGGACACCGAATCTGAAATCGAGTTGAGGTTCAAGCGATGGTTGAGTAGCGGGTGCTATGTGCTCAACAAGAACTGGGTTACGGGGTTTGTCAAGAGAAGAGAACTGAAGCAGGGAGATGAAATCGGACTGTTTTGGGATAAGGGCAATTCAAGGTTCAACTTCAGCGTTCTCAAACGGGCCTAGGATTCTCAAACAACAACATTGGCAATTGCTCCAATTTTGACACGAGCTAGATATAGCTAGCTAGAAAATTACTTAATTGATCATATCTAATGATCATTCTCTTTGTAGTAAGAATTAAAATAGTTTAATAATAACTTTTTTAATAAAAATAGAAGGTATTAGTTTGAGTTGTTTGATAGTATATATATAAAAGAGTTAATAAATAAAAAAAAATTATCTTTCATTACACTATACACAATCACAATATATATATATCATTCTCTTGATCATAATGTAGTATTTTTTTGTCAGTCTTTTTGTGTTGTTCATGATAACTGCAGACATATATTTTGTTAAGAAATTACCTTAATGAAAATTATAAATACATGGTACTTTTTGCTTTATTAATTTGAGCCTGTTTTGTTTTGTTTTTTTTTTTAAAAAAAAAAATTTCTTTTCATATTGAAAATTTAGAGAATAGTTATAATAATGCTGTAGTTGTAGTTTGAATCCTTGATAAAAAGGCCAGAGTCGTTGGTGCACTTCTATCACAGCTAATGTGGCAAGTGCTTTATATTGTTATCGTTAAGGGATAACTCAATAATTAAGAATCTAAAATTTCAAATTAAAAATCTTAAGTTTGAATTTTGAGTTAAATGGGGAAGAAGTTAGGAATAGAAAAAGGTTATTCCCTCTTTTATAATTTCTAATCAGATATATCAAAAAAAAAAAAAAAAACAATGTGCTTCATATTGTTTGGTTTAATTTTTATTAGTCTCAATAATAAATTAAGGACTCATATAATACATGTATAAAATATAAGTAAAATTATATTGACTGAATTTTATTTTTAGCTATTCGATTTTCATACATAAAAATAAAATGCAAATTTTAGTTCTCATAAGGCACACAATTAGATTGGTTATAAAATTGATATTAAATGAATTTCATGATTAAATTTATCTGTAAACAAGTGTTTTTTTTAAATCAAATTTAAAATTCAAGTTTTAAAGTCAACACCTAAATGCATTAAGTTGAGCATTAAGTTAATGTGGGTGTGCGTTTTTAAATTCACTATAAAAGTTTAACTTTAAAATGTTCAAAAGTTAACATAAAAATACCCTAACTTTAAATAAAAAATAAAATAAAATTGATGTTTAATCACCAGTATGAGGGAGACCTCATACGATACTGGTATAGTAATATAGCATGCAATAGCCATCCGGCCCATCCACAACCGAAGCGATCAAAACTCCAAAGCTAAGTGGGTAAGGCCCATATATGTTTTTGGGACATGCTGAAAGTTTGGGTTAAAACCCAAGCAATCACACTTACCCAACCCAAGCTATTACTCTCCCTCTACCCCTCCATTATAATGACAAGATACGTTGTTGTTTCCCCAAAAATCCTTAACCGACCTTTACCATGTGAGTTTAGTTATTAAGCGTGTCATTTGCTTTGTTTAAAAACAAGAAAATTGGATTTTCCAGACAACTCTTTTCCTTTCCAGCGGTTGACTTCCAATAGGATGGCTGGAAAGAACGTTTGTGAAATGAATTGCGCCCCAGACGATGTTACAAAACATATGGTAGAGTTTTGCAAAATGGGTTACTAATTGCCTTGGAAACCTCCAAGGACTTCACAACCAAACAAGTGCAATCAAAGCTACAAATCCTAAAATAAATGCAATATCCTAAGGCAATTAAACTAACATGAAGTAAATAATAGAAAATAACAGAAAATAATATGCAATAAAGATTAAATTCGCAAACAACAGAAAAAGTAAAATAACAGATAATGATTTCAACTATGCAAACCATAATGATTAAACTAATTACTGGCAGAATTAAAATAACAATAACTAAACAACTTGATTGTTAAAACTACAAGAAATAACTACAAATTAATTGAAATCTAGAACTGGAAACTAAAATTAAGTGAACTGAATGTCTGGATATTGTGCAGAGACAAAAGAACAAAGGTAGAAAATGTTCAACCTATTTACATGAATGAACAACATAACTAAATTCATAAAAGGAAGAATAACTAACCGAATCAAAAGGGCAGACCTGTTTTGAAGGCTAAGTTGCTTCCAAACGCTTAAAAATTAATCTAAATTGGAATTTGCGGAAGAAAATATGAACAAAGATGAACAAACCTAGGCTAAGGCTATGAACAAGAGTAGATCTTGCAAACTAATTTGGAAAATCTGGAAACTATTGCTGAAATCTGGAAAATGCAGTCTGAAAGCTGAAAAACATGCTCTAGGCAGTGTATGTGTGTTGGGCAGGCCTCCTGAACTGTTCTCTTCTCTCTATTTTTGTTTTCTTCGGTGCTGGGAACTTCCTCCATGATTTTCAGTATTGTTCCTCCATGATCTGGTAGTGGGGTTGCATATTTGGCAGTTGTTTGACAGTTATCCGATAATTTTTATTTAACTTTATCTTCAACAAAACTTTAAAGATAACTACCTAAAAACCCTCCATTTCCCACTTTCAGTTAAACTCAAACTATCAGATCTAATCTTATCTTCTGCCACCTGAGATCCAACCTCCTTGAAAATCTGTTTGGGTCATTAAATTGTAAGCCAGCTCAGCTCAAATCCAGCCTATTGATTTTCTTGATAATTGGGCTTTACCTTGATACGTGGCCTTACCCTATTGGTTTATTTTAGGTGTAAACAGTTGTTAAATTACTTTTATAATTTTTAAAAAATATTAAAATGTGATTTTAAATGTGGTTTATAATTAATCAACTCTTACTCTAAGTACTCAACCTATTTTTATTCAACATTTAAAAGCTTTTTATTCTCAGGTAGCTTGTTGAAAATTCTTACGCTTTTTTTTTTTTTTATAATTTAGTTATATACACTTAGCAATGGTTATGTAGTTGCATGAGAGATGACAAATTGCTATTGGTTAAATGTGCAAATTATCCTCTAAAATTGTCATGTTGAAGCAAATTACCACCCACAAAAATATTGATGCAATCTGCTACCCCAATTTTCCATATTCAAGAAATCGGCCCAAAATTAATAGTTATCATTAACTCTCCATTAGACTTTAAGAGTAATAGTTTAACAAAGTGTAATGACAATCATTAAATTTAGATTGATTTCTTGAAAATTGAAATATGGAGTGGTAAATTGCTTCAACAGTTTTTTTGAGTGGTGATTTGCTTCAACACAACAATTTTAAGAGATAATTTGCACATTTGCCATTGCTATTTGGGTGGTGGCTTATATACAGATATAATGGCTTCTAAGTTATAATCCCAAAAAAAGTGTAATAAGTTACATGCAAAATAAATAAATTATCTTCTTTTCTATATTAGAACGTGGCAAATTGTAGAATTCATTGAGTAGAATTTAATTAGGTCAAAAAGATTTCATATAAGAGAGTTTGTGGGATTGAGGTAATAGTAATTAGACTTAAGAATGGAAATTATTGGTCCATTTAATTTGAGCTTTAAGGTGTACCTTGTTGGATGTTTTATTATTATTATTATTATTATTATTTAAGTGGTTTTAATTTTTAAATTATTTATTTTTTATTATTTATTTAATCATTTAATTAAAAGATAACCCCATCTCCACAATTTCGTGGCTTATAAAGCTAGATATTGTCCAACAGACACAGAGTGTTTATTTTAGGAAAGATTTTTTTTTTTTCGAAAGATATATATATATATATATATACATATATGTTTTTTTTTAAAAGATGAATTATATAATAGAGGAATAACCTTCTTTTTCTCAAACTCTTCTTCACCTATTCTAATATTCAAATTTAAGATTTTCAACTTAAAATGTTAAGTTTCTAACCAATAAAATGCCATAAAAGACTTTGGAAAGAGATTTGTTGGAGAAAATTGTTGCATTATCAAAAAAATTTTATTGAAAAGTTGAACTTTTGTTGAAAAATTGTTTTAAGTAGGAAAATTGTTTTAAGTCGGTTGTTTATTTGTCATTATCCTAATTTTAATCATTAACTTTTTCTCGGTTTTGTAAGAAATTTATACAGGAAGTGATGAGAAAGTTTTACCTCCCAAAATCGGGGAAAAAGCTTTCCTACAAGTTGTAAAGAATGACAAAACTGAGGTAAGGATGGGGATGTGACTATGGTAGGTTTTTACTCTCATTTTTGCATGCGACAGGCACGGGGTTCGATCCACCGTATCTCCAATAGAGTAATATGTTGTATAGTTTTTTCTTTATTTTATCTATTTTTAGGCCAAAAGAAGATTAAATAGTGAACATCATTTTTTATTTTATTTTAAAATTGGGCCAAGTAAATACTAAAATACCATTAACTTTTTTCAAAATAATAAAAAAAAAATTTCTCCCTAGAACAAAGTCACTAGACTTTTAAGTTAAGAGCCTCAAGAGAATTAATTAAAATCTCTCAATATGACTTAACTAATCAAGGAAATTAAAATTGATCAAATCTGCAGCCAAAGGATCAGAAGGAAAATGCTGCATTATTTTAGACCAATATCTTTTCTATCGGCCTTTCTGGTATATATGTTGACCTTCACAATGTAAATGGAAATATTCTTACCAAAAGAAAGCATGATTAAATTCAAATTTCAAACTTTTTTCCTCTTTTTTTTGGCACCTTACAATACAATATTAAATAACATATAATTGCCTCAATCTACGTTTGTTCGAAAGTTATATTCTTCTCATAAAAAAATATATTCACAAATCACACATTATAATTAAATTTTAAAATCTTACATGACAATAATTATGATTAATTTAATTTTAAAATCTTTACATAATACTAATTATGATTAAACAAATGACTCTATATCCATGCACTCAATTAGATACAATATGTCTATTGTGAAAGTTTTGTTGCTGAATCCTTTTTTTTTTTTTCAATAAGAAGAAATCAATTTACTTAATTACATTCATGTCAAAAACAAAAAATCAATTTATTTATACTAGGTTTGTCTCTGTCACACACACACACGTATATATATATATATTTGTCCCAAAGAAAGGAATTTCTTCACCTTGAGACCGTCCTCAATAAAAGAAATCCAAAACCCAAAAAAGTGATCTTGCGGCTAGCATTGAATGTCCAGCAAAGTAACGTAGCCGTAGCACAATTCCCTGCCCACAGAATCTTCAACCTACTACGATATCTAGGCGACAACGACATCCTCGCCTGTTCTCCCCTCCCCTGAATACAGAGCCACGAAAACGCTGCCCGAGTTATCCCTGGAAATGGCATCCTTGATGTTTTCTGGTGTCTTCATTGTTTTTCTTCTATTGTTATTTGCTCATTCTTACTCGTGCAGTTTCACCATTACAAACAATTGCCCGTATACAATATGGCCCGGGACACTTGCTGGCTCTGGGACGCCACAGCTTGCGTCGACAGGGTTCAGGCTGGACTCCGGTAAGACTGTGAGCCTCTCGACTGTCCTGGGATGGTCAGGTCGGATATGGGCAAGAACAGGTTGCTCGTTTGATGCATCTGGGATTGGTTCCTGTCAAACAGGGGATTGTGGAGGAAGGTTGGAATGTGACGGTAATGGCGCCACCCCGCCCGCGTCACTCTTTGAGATTACCTTCGGTACTGGTGATCAAAAGGACTTTTACGACGTGAGCTTTGTGGACGGCTACAATTTGCCTCTCATTGCTGCGCCGCGTGGAGTCTACGGCACTTGTAATGCCACCGGTTGTGCCTCAGACCTCAATATGGGTAAGGAATACAACTCTATACGTTCTCAGTTTTTACCTTGGCAATCTATGCTATTCAGGCAAAATAGAATATTGTTGAAAGGGTTGCTAGTTGTTTCAGCTCTACAGCAATAGTCAAAATCCTTTATCAGAAATAGTAATCGGTGAAAAGCAAAAATGCAGGTTGTCCGAAAGAGCTTCAGGTGGCTGGTAGAGGAGGTGGCGGAAAAGGGCAAGTAGTGGCATGCAAGAGTGCTTGTGAGGCGTTCGGCCTTGACCAATACTGCTGTAGTGGGCAGTTTGCCAATCCAACAACATGCAGGCCGACATTTTACTCAACAATCTTCAAGAGAGCTTGTCCAAGAGCTTATAGCTATGCTTATGATGATGGAACAAGCACTTTTACATGCAAGGCTTATGAATATGACATTGTCTTCTGCCCTAATGCTGCAAGGTATGAGTTCTCTACCCTATATCACGCCTTTCGTTTTCTTTTGCTTTTATTTGATCCATGGAAAAGAATGTAAAACTATTTCAAATTTTCTGATGCAGAACAAAGAGACCGGGGCAGTTGTCCCCACCACCACCAGTCAAACAAGCCAGCAATCGGAAGGGGAAGGTTGTGACGACGGCTTCATCCTCCAATATTCTCTGGCCCGTTCCAATGATGATCCCTCTCCTCCTCATCAATTTGTTCCTTTGAGCATTCCTGTAGCCTGGTGCTTTTGCCCTTGCCGCAATCAGTTGTTTCTGAAAACAAAACATCCCTAACCTTCTGCCTATTCTAAAGAAGACTGAATGAAGGCAAGGGAATGTGACGTGATGTAGAAGGAAACATAGTTCAAACATTAATTCGGACAAAGCATTGAAAATTTACCAGAGAATCTACTTGTATCGTATAATCAATAGTCAGCTCTTGAAATGATGGGAGAGAATTCTGTTGGCTATTAGTATAGTGAAAGATACATTCGAAATAATGCACCAAATTTTAACACAACTTCCAAAACGAATGACAAGTATGTAATATTATTAATTAACTCATTCTTCAGTTTTCTCGTTTGACATACACCAGCTTTGTATTCCTATAAATAATGAATTAAACTTACTTCAGTGTAACAAGCATATCAAGTACCATAGGCTTTGTTTCGTAATTCATGGTGACATGAAATCTGGAGGCTGGAATTGCAGGAGAAGCCATTAGTTGAAGGAACTGATAACTGACCTGCATTTGCAGTAAAATGACAGCTGTTATTAATAAGCATAGTTTTCCATAAAGAGTTGGTTTATATACAGCGAAGCAACTCTTACTTTTCAGCCCTCATTTCTTGGTCTTGGGTTTCTTTGAACCTACAGTTTTCTTTCTTGCTTTTTTAGGTGGCTGCAGCTTTCCTCCTGCAGCTTTACCTCTCTTCCGTGCCACTGCCTGCATTGAGACATTCATAGGATAAACAATACATATAAAATTGCAACAAAAACTGGGTTTCTAATTTCATAAAGATAATTGTTAGTGAAGCTAGTTTCAGAACATACAGATGCTTTCTCAGCTTTCCCTTTGGTTTTTCCGTCCGCTTGTTCTTCAATGCCCTCAGCTTGATTAGCCTTAGGCACCTTGTCGGCCTCATCCTCAGAATCAAATAAGAACCCATCCAGTGTACCTTATCATTCAAGATGAGAGAGAAACATTTTACAAAACCATGTCAAAGAAAGACTGGAAGTAAATAGCTAAACCAAAAGATGAAAAAAGCTAAAAGAACTCTACCTTCGACCATAGTTTCAGCTTCATAAACGTTAGACTGTGGTCTCAGCTGAATAAAATCGTTCATGATAGCCTCTATCTGACAGTAGAATATCCAATTAAAAGCAGTAAGTTGATGCCTTTTAAGTCATAATTCTGCATTTTCTTTGATAATTGCAGGTTAACAGTAAAGTGTGGAACAATAGCTCCAATATTACTAAAAGATGATACCATCATAGAATAATAACATCATTCAAGTTTTTGTGTGCATGTGGGTAGTAAGAAACCATAACAAACCTTTGCTTCTGACTGACCAAAGCTAACCTGTAGAACAAGAAATGTGTTAGGTGAGAAATGAAATTACAATGTAATTTTGCCAACTTTCTTTTGCCAATATGCAATTTTTTTCCACAATGTAAAGATTGATATACAGAAACAGCATCAGAAATCCAGAAAGAGAAAGTTCACATACAATGCAAAATGTTCTGGAAGGCACTATAGTTGTTTTGTATATGGTTCCTGAAACAGGAAGCAAAGTAAAACCCATCATGCATCATGTATAAAGCAAGCCACATGATTAGCAGTTAGCACATGAAGAGAAGAGACTATATAGGTCTTCAAAGTGAAACTGGAACCTATGTTAGATCAAAGTATAATATAAAACATAGTGCACAAGTAGAGTGCACCGATAGAGTGTTGCAGCAAAATGCTGCATGACTACTGAGAACATAGGAGCAGCATCATTTTGTCATTTTTTTTTCTTTAAAGCTCGTTGTTTGAAAGTCACTAATCACCAAGGGGTGCTCAAGACATAGTGGCACCATTAGGTATTAATAAAGATAATAATTGAAAGTTTAAAAATAACAATAGGGAAAGTGCATTTGAAGAAAGCATGCCTTTTAAATCAAAGAACATTTCATGATTTTCGGATGAGGGATCTGGAATTACTACCCGCCCTACAGCCCCCACATCACCACTCAAATCAACAGAGTCCCCTTCACACTCAACAAGTGCCTGCACAGACCATAAAGTGTTCAGTTAATCACTAGTTTCTTTTGAACAGACACATGTGTGGACACAAGCCTTCAAATGGCATCAGCATAACCACAAAATGAAACATGCCAAAATTTTTAGCAATAGTGTCAGAAAGAAACCATCTAAATTTTATACAAATAGTGTTTAATATCAACTTTAGTACATATTCACTTGTAACCCCCGAGAAAAGTAGCAAAAAATGTCTGATGCATGCACCAAGAACTCTAGCGAGTAGGGCTGAACAGAAAACTAGTTAAGATGAACTAAACCGGCCAAGCATATGCCACCAGAGTAACCAGGAAGGCAGTACTTCAAACCAAGGTACACATTTTAATTCATTGTCTTGGGATAAGTTTTAATACAGTTCAGATTGGTTGAGATACATTAGACAAATAAAATTTACATTTTATGGAAGTTACATACTTTAAATACATGACACAAACTGCTCCTATGACATATATATATAGGTTTTCCTTAGGCCTTTTCATTTTTAAGATATACACAGGCCAAACCAAATGTACTTTTTTTTGCTACAGAAATCAACCAGTACACTTGAAATCCAAAACCAAAATAGATAAATGAATAAACAACAGACATCTTGTTTAAAACTCAGAGCCAAATTCTCAAGAAAAATAGATATCAAGAAGCCATAACCAAGATCACTCTCCTTACCTTTGAACGATGGACCTTTTCAGGTAGAACCAAAGGCAACCTGGATGTAGAAACCTACATATGATAAATTGCAAAGGAATTTAATGAGACATGGAATATAGAAGAAATCATTACAACTACTACTAAACATTCTTACTTGAGGTTCAATATGCTTCTGAGCAGTCTCTTCAACTACAATCTCTGTATCCTCATCATTTCCTGTGCCATCATTGTATTATTGTGTGCAAAATAACTTAAAGGAATTTCATTGTCCAAATAACAGAGATAGAGTTGCCATTTCATACTAAATAAAGGTCTTAAGCATGCAACCATCCATAATAAGAAATTATAAGACTTTAAATATCTAAGAAAGCAAAATTTAGTGCCTCTTCTCTTCAGATTGTCAGTAACACTGTTCCCTTTTTCCAAGGCAAGGGCCTGACCTGCTTCTTTTAGCCCCTTTTTAGGAGATTTCCCTTTAGAAGACTTCTTCAGTGGATAATCCTCACTTGTTCCAGTTGGTACTGGATCCTTGGCCTCTTCACTCCCTTGAGTCTGAGGTGGAGAATTTATCTTGTCTTTTTTTAAAGAACTGTCAGGAGGAGACTCAGAATCTGATGACAATGTCCAAATTGAATGATTGGCAGCCTGTTGAAAATCATTCATATTTTCATACGTATCAATGCCATAATGAAAAGTACTACACATTCAGAGAAAGAATTTGGAATACTTTTAAAATGTTAAATAAACCAATTAACCAATTAATTGCCAAAAAAACTATACCAAAAACAATCAGAATATCATAGGTAGAAAGTCCCATCACACACACAGAGATAAACACAGAGAGAAAAAGATACCCCAAAAACAGAAAAGGATAGCCCCAACAGAGTCCAGATGAAGAGAGAGCAGAAGAAGAATAATGCAACAACAATGCTTCAAGACCAGAAATGACTTGATTCAAACAACCATAGAAAGCCAGATTAAATTTTGCTTTTTTCCATTACAATGATAAGGTGGGATGAGATTAGAAAAGAAAAACTAGCACCAGATACATAATCGTGTTTCCTCCTTAACATGTTTGCTTGTAAAAAGGACAACCAGCATCATTTGCTCTCAGAAGCATGCCACAAGTAACACTATCATGTCACTTTGCTAGTGTACTGGATGTTTTTCACTTCCATTAAATATGTAATGGCAAAAGCTACAGAGATAAGCAAACTTCAAAACCTTCTTCACTTTAAGCTCCTAAATAAATCTCAGTAAATTCACTCACACCCAAAACATCCTATATTACAAACTAAGATAAAGCATTAAAGCATCCATTGTCATCCAGTTGAGAAAGAACTGCTTATTTCAACAGCCAATTATAGTGGGAACTAAATTTAATTTAATCTAGCTTTAGAACTGTAAATCTACTTAACTGTAAAACTTGTGTCAAATTATGAACTCCTTAAATATTGCAGCTAGTTTCATAAGTTTGGACCCTAATGATAAAATGCTCAATCAGTCCCACATTTTCAAACATAACAGCTTCACTGGCTCTCCAACATTTTTAGAGCATACTAGAAAATTTTTTCTTTTTGTCAATTCCTTTCAATATGTGAAATGCAATAATTTCATTTTCATAACTTACAAAATTGAGGTTTTTAAACAATTTCAAAGTGATCAAATTTAGCCCCATGCATGGATGACCATTCCTATAGACCACAAAACACTACCATAATGAAGAAAACCCAAAATTGCTAGATCTCTTATCTCTAAGGATAGATTATTAATGCTGAGTAAATGCAGTATAAAGCTTCTTACGCAAGGTTCCATAGGCTCCTCTGATGTTACTTCGATGGCAACTTTCTCAACATTAGCATTCCCTATATCATGGTGAAAAGTTCATTTTATTTTAGTCATAAGGGGTAATCCAGGATAACAGAAAGGGAAAGTACATAAAACCTCTAATGTTTGGCTGTAAAGATAGTCTCACCCTATTTACAACTCTATTATCCTTTCTTGAAATTAACATTTAACAAGCTCCATATGCATCTACTGGAAAGAATGTAGTTTGAAAACACAGATAGGAGTGTATTATTAATTAATCCTTCAAAAAATATACCTTAATTAGTTAGTTATTTCAAAACAAACTCTCTGTTCTGGCATTAAATTCTCACAAAAAGAAAATATTTGCCTCTGCTAATAGCAGTTTGTTTACCTTCGCTTTTCTTAGAGTTCTCTTTTTTCTTCTTTTTTGACAGAGTTCGTTCTACTTTCATCTTGCTTTTGGGAGACTTGGCTTTCAAGCTTTTACCAGAATGTGATGCTGAACCACTTTCACTGATGGCTGTGTCAGGATTTTCACTGCTCCTGTTAAATCCCAGAGAACTGATGGGAAGTTGGTCCTCTAGATCAGAATTATCCTCCCTTCGGGGACTATCATTTAGCAAAGGATCAGAATCTGAGGATAATGTCAAATGTGAACTTGGAGCCTGCAAAACCATACACAATTATTGCATTCATTTGGTGAAGGAAGTAAAAGATGCAAGGGGAACCTAGCTAGCTGCTACAATGCCAAACTAACATTTGTAAAATAAAAGGTTAAACCTGAAAAATTTAACAATTATGCCTTTTTAGTGAGCCAACTATATTGAAAAAGTACAGGAAAATAACAGTAATGAATTATTGATCCAAGGGACTTACGGCTACAAGAATTAGGTAACTTATGAGAAAAATCCTATGAAGGGTAAGTCAAACTAATTATTGTTGCATCATATGCAGATACATATACATTGCAAAAGAAACTATTAAATAAAAGCACTTGATTCTAATTCCACACAACACATACAGTCGAGAATAAAGAGCATTGCCTAGATAAAAAAAAAAGGGGAACAACAACATCATTTGTATGTAATGAAGTTCTGTACAATGTAATAGAATGGAGAATTAAAGATGTATAAATACAAAACTATAAAGAGAGAGGCTGTTGTATGTACCTGGAAAGAACGTAGCCAATCCGGAGAATCCTCTCTGGAGCTGCTCATTTTGAACCAATTTTTTTTCTCCTAAATTCAATTAAAATCATTTTTAATACCAGTACTAAAACAATAAATTTCTTTTTAAAAAAATAATAAATATTTTCCTCTGCTAAAATTAAACTTTTTTGGTAGATACATAGAATAAATATAATTTACAGAAACAAAGCAATAAGTATGAGCCACAGTTCTCAATAGTAAAAGAATTTGCAGGCTGCATGCAAGAAAATGAGAAAACAATAATGAAAACAGAAGAAGAAATGAAGATGGGTATAAGCCCTAAAAGCTGCCCCGAATCCATTGGTAAGCAAATTGTAAATTAAGAACAGAAATCCAAGAAATATTGAGAATTGAATGGAGCAATTGAGGAAGAAGAAATAGAAGCAGGGAATACCTGAAAAATGATTTCCGGAACAAGAATGAGAAACCGTAGCAGAGTAATAAGAATGAAGGCAGCGGCGCGCGCGGGACTTTGGGACTTGGTAGCGGGGAGGGGAGGACTATTCCTTTGTTTGGGCTTTGTCTGGCCTACCGCAATGAGGGGTATAGGGACTATGGACTGGGCTAATAACATTCAACAGATGGAATGAGATCAAAATAAATAAATAATGACACTGCCCTTCCTCTTCGTCCAATTTCTATTTAAAGGTAAGACAATTTCTGGGATTAGTGTTTTGAGTAGAGATGGGAATTTGCTCCAAAATTCATGAAGTTTCGTGGGGATCCTATCGTGGGAATGGAGATTTGGAGAAAATTTTTCTCCGTATGGCCAAGATAGAGGCAATGGTGAAAGAATTTCCTTTGTCCCATGAGTTCCTATGGTGATATGTATATAATAAAAATACATATAAACTTATATTTTTATAAATTATGATATAGTTATAAAAATATAGAACTCAATTAATTTTTATCTAATTCAACTTAAATTTATATTTTTATAGATTGTAATATATTTATAAAAAAAATCAAATTAGTTTCAAATTTCTATTCTTTTTCTGTTGTTTTTTTTTCTTAATTTGCTATATTACTTATTTGTCGAATTATATGCATATGTTTATTTCAAATTTCTACTCTTTTTTTTTATTTCTTTATGTAGCAATTTTTTTTTTTATGGTTTTTGTGAAATTTTTTGCTTGCTTTTCACTTTTGTTGGTTGTATTTTTATATTCCTTTGAATTACCTTTTATAGAATGCTATAAAATTTATTTATAGGAAAAAAAAATGAGGTTAAAATTTTGTAGTTTTAATATTTGGTAGAGACTCTTTAAACCCACAGGAACTTCTATTTCCCACAAAGATGGGATGGAAGGCATTTTTTGCCTTTCAACCAAAAATTTTTGTGGAGATCTCTTGAGGACCCATTGCCATCTTTAGTTTTGAGAAAAACAAAAAATCCTTAAAATGTCCATACGATTTCAATAAAATTTGGTTGGACATAATGTAATTTTTATTTATGTCACATTTATCATGTAGTTAAAGATTATAATTCCTTATATTAGATGTCTTCTTCTTTTTTTTTCGGTATATAACTCATCACTAATCCCTCCCTAATCAATCTTAAGAACTCACCTCTACATTGGTTTGGTGCATTCAAAAAATTAATTTCCTTGGTTCCTAACTCCAAAACTTGAATTCTAAACCTAACCAACAAAACAACACTTTTTTTTACCAATGTTGTCAATCCTTGGGTTTAGATGTCTTTTCCTTTTTTTAATGATAATATATCATGATTTTTTATTTCCTGTTGAGTTATATATATATATATATATAATTTTTTGTAGTTTAATTGTCAAGGTATCTTCATGCTAGCTTATTCCTACCTCAAAACTAATCCTTCCATGGTTTAGTTAAAGACTAGTCATCTACACTGAAACTAAAGAATTTATAA